AAATGTGGAGATAGAGTTCCCACATATTCTATAGGGGCAATTACAAAAATGCCATTTTTTGTGTGCACATTTGCAAGAATGCCACTTAGGGGTGTCCATTTGCAAAAATGCCACTAATTATAYATTTATAAAYCCTATATCTTAAAATTKTAAACKCTAAAAAATYTTTTSACCCCTAAAARCCCCTAAACCCTCATAACTAAACCCTAATAAAACATAATTAACCCAAACATAAATGATATAAAGAAAAAATAATTTTGAAAAAGTAATATTTTTGTAAAGATTTTAAAAATGTGGCATTTTTGTAAAATAGCACTTGAAAAATGACATTTTTAAAAATTTTTATATTCTATTCTCTATTCTATATCGAGAAGAACTAAGAAGTACTACTATATAAGTTTCTCAATTAAAAAAAAAAAAAAACTATATAATAATGTAATGTGTATAGAACGTTAACGAGTTGAGAGGCAAAATGTATGCTTCCTAAGAAATATATTCAATTAAATTTAAAATAAACAACATGACTCGGTCAAAATAATTTTTTAATAAATGCCAGCATGGACCAAAGGCCCATTAAAAATTTATAAAAGTAGCCTTTAAAAAACAAACAAAATTGAAAAAATATCAAAAGTGACCCAAAAGTATCAGAAAAGGCAGAGTCCCGTGTGCTTTTCTCACACATTCAATCCAACGGTTCTCCTTCAATCTCCCTTCGCAATCGTCGCTCCCCACTCACCCCAATTAAAAAAACACAAAATATCTTTTTTAGAATAGCCACAAAAAAATTGAAATTCGAAAACACAAATCTCTTTCTCTCTCTTTTTCTCCTTCAGATCTGAAATCTTCTTCTTCTTCAAGCGTTTCGTTTCCGATCTAACGACGACAAAGAGAGAAATGGCGGCATCATCATCGGCGAGGGAAGAGTTTGTCTACCTAGCGAAGCTCGCTGAGCAGGCGGAACGTTACGAGGAGATGGTTGAATTCATGGAGAAAGTCGCTGAAGCTGTTGACAAAGACGAACTCACCGTCGAGGAACGAAACCTCCTCTCCGTCGCTTACAAAAACGTCATCGGTGCTCGTCGTGCTTCATGGCGTATCATCTCCTCCATTGAACAGAAAGAAGAGAGCCGTGGCAACGATGACCATGTAACCACGATCCGTGAATACAGAAGCAAGATCGAAACCGAGCTCTCCAAAATCTGCGATGGTATTCTTAAGCTTCTCGATACCAGGCTTATTCCGGCTTCTGCTGCTGGAGATTCCAAGGTTTTCTACCTTAAGATGAAGGGAGATTACCATAGGTACTTGGCTGAGTTTAAGACCAGTCAGGAGAGGAAAGACGCCGCTGAGCATACTCTTACCGCTTACAAAGCCGCTCAGGTTTTTCTCCGATCTGTCTTTGGAATCTATACGTTGACTTGATTTTGTGAGATCTATGGTTTCCGATTAGGTTTTTAGGGTAAAATCATGATATCGGATCTG